AACTCATGTGCATGGGCGATTGATTCCTTGTTTGCATCTTTCGCCTCTCCTTTGATGACATATGATGCGAGGTCCATGCGTGGTATGCACGGCACAGCCAACCACTGCTGTGCCTGAAAGATTGCACAATCCCCAATTTGCGGCTGATCTCACCCGCCTTCGTTTGCAACATGTTGAAGGAAATAGGGCGGTTTCCCTTAATGTGGCTTGTAGCCCATTCCTTCAACCATTCCTCCAGCTTGGGTTGCTCGCCAGGCAGCGGAGTCTCAGCCAACCATCGGGCCTGGTACTTCAGAATGTTGAAAATTGTAGTGCGGCCCGGCCTCTTGCCGAACTCAGACTGACACCATGCCGCAATGCGGTTCTGGTTGTCCAACGGGCATTCCTTCCGGTGCAAGCAGAGGCGCCGTTTCTCCTCTCGTGTCAAAGCTACATTTCCAGGCCTGGTTGGCATTGTGCATGTCGTTGTTCGCTGGCTCGCATGCTTTCTGTGCATAACTTAGGACATTCTTAAGTAGCTAATTTCGTGTTGCCTTTGTGTTGTGATTGCATGTCGCACGGGGAATTCCTCTTCAGGATTTGTAAACACATTCAGTATCGTGTCTCAATTTCAGAGTGTGGGATTCCTCTTCGATGTGCTGTTCTTCTGCTGTGCGGCCTGGTCCCTAGATTTCGTGCGTTCATTGGGTGTATTTTACTCGAGCCAGTTAGAAAGGATGCTGCCAATTTCATCTGAATTGGTCAACTCTGATGTGGCAGCTCTATAGTACTGTCGGTGCTTCCAGAAGCGAGTCTCGTTTCTGCTCCCCCCTAATGACGCGCTCCTGTTCTCAGAGCCACAAAAATTGATACGTCATCACCAATTCCGAGCCTATTTAGGTGGCTCTTTCTCCCACGGGCTTGGGGCCGCCCATTTCAGTGCGCCCTGAACTGTTGAAGCTTGACCGCGCCACTACGCGACATAGGGTGTGAAAATACTAGGTGTGAAATTACCGCGGGTTAGGTGTACAAGGTCACCGTTGCTAAACGGTTGAGGTCTAAAGTGACCCTATCCAAGGTACCAACTCAGTTGCGAAAATGTGACGGGATCAACATCTGACGTATGTGAACAAGAAACACATACGTCACTGGCAGGTTACGGAAATTTGACTTCGTAGTATACCAGGCAAACAGTGACACGTGGCTGTGTCCAAACACAGAATGTAGGCATCGTGAAACGCAAGGAAAAATGGACTTACAGAATTGTGAGGATTTGGAAAAGGACTTACAGAATTGTGTGGCCTAGGAAAAGGACTTACACAATTGTGTGGCCTTGGAAGAGGACTTCAACAATTGTGTGGCCTTGGAAGAGGACTTACACAATTGTGTGGCCTTGGAAAAGGACTTACACAATTGTGCGGCCTTGGAAAAGGACCTACAGAATTGTGTGGCCTTGGAAACGACTTACACAATTGTGTGGCCCTGGAAAAGGACTTTACACAATTGTGTGGCCTTGGAAAAGGACTTACACAATTGTGTGGCCTTGGAAAAGGACTTACACAATTGTGTGGCCTTGGAAAATGACTTGCACATTGTGTGGCCTTGGAAATAGGACTTACGGAATTGTGTGGCTTGGAAAGGACTTACAGAATTGTGTGGGCCTTGGAAGAGGACTTACAGAATTGTGTGGCCTTGGAAAAGGACTTACAGAATTGTGTGGGCCTTGGAAGAGGACTTACAGAATTGTGTGGCCTTGGAAGAGGACTTACAGAATTGTGTGGCCTTGGAAGAGGACTTACAGAATTGTGTGGCCTTGGAAGAGGACTTACAGAATTGTGTGGCCTTGGAAGAGGACTTACAGAATTGTGTGCCTTGCAAAAGGACTTACAGATTGTGTGGCCTTGGAAAAGGACTTCCAGAAATGTGTGACCTTGGAAAAGGACTTACAGAATTGCGAGGATTCAGAACTCTACATGCACAGGGTTGGGTTTCATGCCTGTAGTGAACATCTGTGGTGTTATCCAAATTTTGTGTCTGTTTTGGTGTGGCTCCAATAATTATGGCAGCCGGGAGTTGCGGCTAGAGATGGCAATGACAATGGCGGTTGACCTGGAAAGATTTTGCTATTGTACCCAGATAACAGCAGTTCTGGCATGAGCCTAGACCCGAAGAGCTCTTACACGTGAGATTTGCTTCTTACCAAGGTCATGTGAAATTAATCTTCTTACCAGGGTTTCATTTAATTCAGCTATTGTACCATTGAAAGTTGAGTGTCAGCACCGAACTCCAATAACCGGCTACAAACGAGCGAATCTCTCCCCTTGCGAACTTCGCCATGCGCAAGAGAATACACGCCAGAAGTCGCCCGCCCCGGAGGATGCCGCCAACAGTGGACGTCTCGAAACGGTATTGGACGAAATCGCACGCGAAGTGTCGCAGGAGAGCCGTGATGATAAGGCTGAAGTAGGCAACGGATGCCGCCCGCACGTGCCGGCAGCTGCAGCCAGGCCGGCAGCACAATCCGCCGTCCGTAGCAGCAGCAATAGTCTCTGCAACATTCGCAACCACACCAATTGTGCTAGTGGCAAAGATACAGCTGCCGATGCCGGCCCCTTTTAACCCCATGGACAAAATACCACCATGACAGGCTGGCTTTTTGCGATGGAGCTTTATTTTTATGCAGTCGTCGGATTACTGTTGATGGTTTAAAAAAAACTAGTTGTTTCAATATTGAGGGGACATGCACTGGATTGGTGGCAATCGACACTAAGTGAGACGGGGATGCCTAGGCCCTCATTTGTATCGACACTCTTGAATCACGACTCCTTTATTACACAACCTGTTATTACTCTGATTAATTCATAGCAGCTGGTATCAGAGCCCCGTTCCTGCCCGCTTGGTCTTCCGTAGAGTACTCCGATTATATCGGGAGCGTAGCTGATAGAATAGAGGGTTGGCCAGCGGTTGGTAGGTGAGCTCGTTAAAGCTCCTCCAACTAAAAGCATGTGCGCCCTCAGATCTGTCTGGTAAAATTTCCAACATGACTAGCACGCCGGAAACCTCTGCCCGTCGTAGTGTTAGGAAGTGACTCAGGAGGAGTTTGACGAGTTGCAAGCCAGGGAGTCTACAGTGACGACACTGCAGGCCCAGCTTCAACAACTCGCGGACAAGTTCGAGTCGCTGGGAAGCAAACTGAAACTCGTCGCTTCGCCAAACGCGGGGTGAAATGCGTCAGGGGCGGCCTGTAACCCCAGACAAAGATGCAGCAAGCGAAGCGAGGGCGTCGGCGATACCTGAAGCAGTAGAAGAAGTCCACAGCGAGCCACGGGCGGCCATTAAAATCAAGCCGCCGATGCCCCCACCGTTCAACCTGACCGACAGGACCACTACAGTGAGCGGGTGGGTGTTCGCCATGGAAATCTTCTTCATGGCAGCAAGTATTAATGACAATGCCTCACGTGTCAACTTGGCTGTGTCGCTGCCGAGGGGACCGGCACTCGACTGGTGGCGCATGCATCTCGACGAGGGAAGAGCCCTGGCAGGGAATCAACGGGCGGCAGATGGGGAGATGAGTTCATCAATGGCGAAGGCAGAACCAACCTTTGGATCGGTCACGATCCGCACGTGGAAAGTGTGGGGCGAAGCGTTGAAGGGCTGATTCGAGCACATATCCATGCGCGAAAATGCTCGCACAAAGCTTCGGATGTGGAGACAGTTGGGCTTTGTCCAAGAATACACGGCGTCGTTTCTAGCAATCTGCGACCAAATCGGAGGGATCAACGAGGACGAGAAAATTGATCGCCACATGGGTGGACTCAAGCCAGAGATTCAGCAAGAAATCATCCTACGACCCCGACGACCTTCAACGAAATCGTTCGAATGGCAGAAGCGCTGGACGCAAGACGTGGACTCGCGAGAGCGGGTTTCCGGGAGGGAAATCGCTTTCGAGGCCAGCCTCAACACACATCAATCGATGGCGTGGACATGTTTGCAGCCCGAGTATTTTCGGGGACCTGCTTCCAGTGCAACCAGCCAGGTCACATGGTGCGGGACTGCCCGCAGCTGAAGAAGAACTTACCTAACGATAAGAAGCAGTCGGGAAATGGAGATCATCAGAAGCAGATGGGTCGCCTACTGACTTGACTGCGTCGCCCAAACGCCAACACCCCCACCAGGTTAAAGTGCCGATTTGGACTATCGACCATTCCTGGCTGAATAAGGGGGTGAACCGGTTGATCGCCCTGTGCTGGTTGAAGGGAGAGTTAGAGACATCCGCATCAAAAAATTCGTTGATGGCGGGGCGAGCCACAGTTTGATGGATGTGACGAAGGCGAAAAAATTGCGACTGCAACTGGAGCGGTGCATGCGTGAAATCGACGCGCGATTGGTCGACGGCCCACCACTGGCAATTCGCGAGCGAGTACCTCACGTGCGAGTTACATGCGGCAAAATTTTCAGCTTCATGACGAAGATGTTGGCGACAATTTTGGACGGCTACGACATGCTGCTGGGACGCGATTGGCTGCGCGAATACAACCCGAACATCGACTGGCGGACGGGCGACTGTCGCATAAAATGGAGTGGCGAGTGGCGATGACTACCCAAGTGAAGCTGTCAAGATTCGGCGACATCGACGGTCAGCGCCGTAACGATCAAGCGAGCTATGATTCAAAAGGGCGCAACTGTACGCCGTCCGATGGATCGCATCAACGGCTGTCGACACGCCAGCCGACATCGACAAACTCTGCGAAGCTATCCCGAACGATTTGGCGAATGTCATTCGCAAGCACGCTGATATTTTCCCAGACGACCTACCGGCAGGTTTGCCACCTGAGCACGACCACGACCACAAAATCGAGTTGGAGTCCGGCGCGCAACCGACTGTTCGGACTCAATGGAGGCTGATTCAGCCCAAGCTCAATGAACTTCGACGACAGCTGAATTATCTGCTCGAGAAAGGTTTCGTTCGCCCCAACACTTCCTCGTTCGCATCTCCGATCCTGTTCACCCTGGAGAAAGATGGCGGTCTATGAATGTGTACTGACTACCACGCCCTGAATCGGGTTACCATCAAGTCCCGCTACCATATCCTGCGTGCCGACGAACTCATCGACCAACTTCTTGGAGACAAGTTCTTTTGGAAAATTGACCTACGAGTCGGTTACCACCAGATACGCCTGAATGAAGCTGACTGCTACAAGACGGCGTTTCGAACCCGGTACGGAAGTTATGAGTACATGGTTATGCCTTTTGGCTTAACAAACACGCCTTCGACGTTCCAGTTGACAATGAACAAAGTTTTTCGGCCGCTGCTAGATAAATGCGTCATCGTGTACCTCGACGACATCCTAATATACAGCACTACCCGGGAACAGCATTTGAAGGATTTGGAAGCAGTCTTCTCTCTCGTGCAGCAGCACCAATTCATCACCCAAGGCTCTAAGTGCGAGTTTCTAAAACAAGAACTGGAGTTTTTGGGACACGTTATTTCCATCGACGGAGTGAAAATCGACCCCAAAAAGATCGCGACAATTCAAGACTGGAAGTCGCTGGCTAATCTCCATGAACTTCAAAGTTTCCTGGGGTTTGTGAATTACGTTCGTCGGTTCATTCCGAACATGGCGGGGGTAACTTCCCCTCTCATGGATCTCCTGAAGAAAGGCAAGTTTCATAAGTGGGGGGGAGAGCAGCAGGTTGCGTTCGAAAAGCTCAAACGTTTCCTGACTACACCTCCGGTTCTTTGGATTGCAGATCCTTGCCGTCCGTTCGAGCTCATCACCGACGCTAGCGATCTGGCTGTTGGCGCAGTACTGTTACAAGACTTCAGTGAAGGCCTTCAACCCATCGCCTACGAGTCACGAAAGCTGGATCCGGCCGAGCGAAATTATCCCGTCCACGACAAGGAGTTACTCGCCATCGTCCACGCTTTCAAGGTCTGGCGCTGCTACCTAACGGCCGCTGACGTGACAGTCCGAACAGACACTAAAGTTCATCCGCACCCAACCGACACTAAATCCTCGACAGATCTGCTGGCTCGATTACCTCGAGTCAAACTTCCACTACTGAGTCACCTACAAACGGGGGGTTAGCAACATCGCTGACGCATTGACCCCCCTTCAGTCCACACCGCCGCAGTCCTAATTACCCAAGCTAATCCGCTGCTAACTGGTCTATTCACCCACGAATACAGTACCGACCCCTTCTTCACCACTAACACTCATCCCCAACTAACGGTCAAGCAAGAGGCCTACTACCTAAAATCCGGTACCAATCGGATCTGGGTTCCCGCCTACCGTACCCTACGCAAGCTACTGATGTAGGAGGCATACGACTCGAATTTCTCGGGTCACTACGGCATCGACAAAACTGCCGAATTACTGAGCCGTCATTATTACTGGCCTGACTTGCCGAGTGACGTGCAGCAGTACGTCACCTCATACGCCACGTGTCAACGCATGAAGTCTTCACGACTTCGACCTGCGGGATTATTGCAGCCGCTCGAGCCACCCTGCCGACCCTGGCAACATGTGACGATGGATTTTGTCACTTGCCTGCCAGCTGGTTCAAGTGGTAACGACGCTGTCCCGGATGTGGGTAGTCTCATCCCGGAAGGGGGGGTGGTGTAAGGAAATCCCCTTTTCCTTACTGGTCTCGACTACAGCGCGTACGCCATCGACTCTCGGAAGTCCAGGCTCGGCCAACTTATTCGGTCCCGAACCACTTTGCGAAACCAAACCTAGACGCGCAGCGCTTCCGTGGCTTTCGCCAACCGAATCGCCCCAACCTGTTCGCGTGGTTCTCGGCCAGCTCTGTTCGTGCCTATAAATGCCTAGGCCCTCATTTGTATCGACTCCTTTATTACACTACCTGTTATTACTCTGATTAATTCATAACAAGTGTCACCATGTCCCTCGTTTTGCCGGCACATCGGCCACACTCCTGCCCTGATCTCCATCGAGTCGCGCCACACTCCGCCTGCTGCTTGATGCAGGAAGATTTCTTCCGCGTCTGCCCCTGACAATGCGAAACAGAAGCTGAGGGGTTTCGCAAAACAATCGCGACGGGAGATTTATGACTGCCGGCGAAATCACTCTGTACGCTGGATTCGGTAACCAGGATTCGCCACGCATTCCATCTCACAGCTGTTCCCTCTCCCCAAGGATTTGTTCCTTCGTGGAGAGGGCGACTACATGATGCAACAAGCAATGCTGATGACGTTATGGGATAATTTAGTAGCGACAGCTTCGAAACTGGCTATTCCGGAGGATTTTCTTGCAGGCTACTCGTGGGCTACTCATAGTAGTTACAGCCTAGACACATTAGACCGCTCGAAAACGGGCTGATGACACCTTCGACGGCAGTTACCGTTATGGGAAGAGGCATTCAGTGGAAAGAGGTCTTTATCGTGTGCGCTTTCACCTTCCTCTTCGTCTTTATTCTCGAAAACCGCTCTGTGCAAGGTAATTGCACAGCGCCCAATTCAAGCTTATAACTGGCACATGCGAAACAACTGTTCTACTTTCATCAGGGTTGCTGGGCCTTGTTTCTGCGCTCAAGAGATCAGACGGCACCAGCTGAACTTGATTCCAGCTAACCATCTCCTCCCTTTATTCCCCCTCCCCCCCCCCCTACCCGCCTTTCCCCCCGTCCCTCCGCAACAGTCACAATCTCCCCGCAAGCTGAATCGATAAGCGTGCATCGACATATGCTTCTATCGGGGTTCGAATCCATCCTGCTACCAACCGCTCGGGATATGCCGACACCATCTTCCATAAACTCCTCCGTTACTGTCTTCGCCTCTACAGTAACTGACAATGCTACGGTACGGAATGCCTCCTTATTAATAAACGGAGAAATAGGTCACAAGCAGACCGTCCGTCCCTCTCGGCTTCACATCGACAGCTTCGGTTTTCCTGGACCTGTGCCCTGGGATTGGATCCGGCCGTCCGTTCGCGATATGTACACAATGAACGGTCAGATTGCAGTGCAGCCGTTCTTCTTCAACTCCGACGCCCCAGATTCAGGCGCGGTTGCTCCCATCTGGACGGACGAACAAATCGACGGCATGCTTGAGGTGGCCCGCTCGAGAAATTTGTCATCCGGGCAGCTCAGCGGCTACGACGATTCGTCATCGTTGTTTTTTTTCGAGGCGTTTGACCGTTACCCGATAAGAGGGAAAAGCATACTCGTTATTGGCAGCCAGACGCCATGGGTGGAGGCCATCTGCATCGCAGCTGAAGCAGGGTCGATCACGACCGTCGATTTCAACCCCTCCTGTGGTGTCGCACCCAAGGATCAAGTCGATTTCGATCGACCAATTAGACGCGACGGATGACGTGTACGACGTGATCGTTTCGTTCTCGTCGATTGAGCATGACGGATTGGGGAGATACGGCGACCCCATGAACCCCACAGGCGACCTACAGCGCATGAAGAAGGTGCGTAGAATACTCTGTACGAGGGCCCTTAGGGAACAGGTGAAATGGTCCGTGTGTAAATCTGAACGTCAGTCTTAGAAGTGGGTGTGGTGTGATGTGTTCAAATCACATGTGCCTATCTGGTAGTGCCAGTTTCCCCGCTTCCCCATTCGTCGCCCTTCTCCTGCGACACACTTTCCCCCCTCCCTTCCCGCCCTGCTTCCAGCTCCAGGGTTTGGTGAAACCCGAAGGGCTTTTCTATTTGGGAGTGCCTGTGGGCAATGACACACTTGCTTTTAACGGGCACAGGGTGTACGGCCCACTGCGGATGCCTAAGCTTATTGAGGGGTGGAAGCACCTGGACACAGTTGGGGGGAAGTTGGAAGATTTGTTTGCCCAGTATCAAAACGGTGGCTTTATACAGCCAATTCTTATCTTGCACTATGTGCCTTAGTGGCTTGGTTAAGTTGCCCATTTCCATACTTCAGTTGCCTTGGCATGTTTTGATATTGCTGATGCACACTGTCACATGACACATCCTGCTATTTTCTAACACCAATGCATGTGATGCGTATGTCAATAATGTGAAGCACTGGTGATTGCAATGTACCCAAGGAGCTTTACCTGTCAACTTATACATATTATCTATGTAGAAGTTATAGGCTAGACTGAGGTATGCTTCTAGTGAGTACAACCAACTAGTATTTGTTCTAGGTTTCCACCTCTAGTAATCATTCGTTTCTACGTTATCATGGTATCACGCTTAGGTTAGGATCCCCCCCGCTCGCCGCTCCTCGCCCGTCGCGCCCTAGGCCCCGTCGCGCCCTGGCCGTCGCGCCCCCTGGGCCCCGTCGCGCTCGTTAGGCCCGTCGCGCCCCCCTGGGCCCCGTCGTGCCCGCTGGGCCCCGTCGCGCCTCCTAGGCCCCGTCGCGCTCCCCCTGGGCCCCGTCGCGCCCGCTGGGCCCGTCGCGACCCCTAGGCCCTAACGCGCCCCCGCTGGGCCCCGTTGCGCCTCCTAGGCCCCGTCGCGCCCCCCATGGGCCCCGTCGAGCCCGCTGAGCCCCGTCGTGCCTCCTAGGCATCGTCGCGCCTCCTAAGCCCCGCGTCCCCCCCTCTGGGCCCCGTCGCGCCCGTTCGGCCCCGTCGCGCCCCTCCTAGGCCCCGTCGCCCGCTGGGCCCCTCGCGCTCCTAGGCCCCGTCGCGCCCTCTGGCCCGTCGCGCCCCTGGGCCCTGTCGCGCCCAGGCCCCGTCGCGCCCGCTGGGCCCCGCGTTCGGCCCCGTCGCGCCTGCTAGGCCCCGTCGCGCCCCTGGCCCGTCGCGCCCGTCCCCGTCGCGCCCCCTGGGCCCCGTCGTGCCCGCTGCCCCGTCGCGCCCCTCGGCCCCGTCGCGCCCCCCTGGGCCCCGTCGTGCCCGCTGGCCCCGTCGCGCCCTTAGGCTGTCGCGCCCGCTGGCCCTGTCGCGCCTGCTGTTAGCGCTCGCCGCCTGGCCTCCTAGTGCCGCTCGGCCTCCTCCTAGTGCCGCCCGGCCTCCTCCTAGTGCCGCCCGGCCCCTTCCTAGCGCCGCCCGGCCTCTCCTCAGCGCTGCCCGGCCCCTCCTCGTGCCCGACCGGCCCCAGCAGCACCAGCCTGGCCCCTCCCAGCACCAGCCCGGCCCCAGAGCACCTGCCCGCCTCCCCTGCTCGGCCTGCCGTGTCCTCTCGGGCCCTGTGTCTTCTGCTTGCCTGCGCTGGGACGCCTAGCTGCTGCCCTACTGGAGAGTGCTGCCGCCGTGTCCCCGCGCCGCTGTGCTCCTGTGCCGCTGAGGAGCTGTGCTGCTGTGCCGCTGTGTCGCTGAGGAGCTGTGCCGCTGACCCTGCACGATGGCTGACTTTGTGCTCCGCCTGGACGCTGAGGGCCACGCGGTTGACTTCGCCGCCTGGCTCTCCGATCTTCGCCGCCAGCTTACAGGTCAGCGCCAGGATGGCCACTCTCTGGTTGTCCATGCTGATGGCTTGCTCCCCCGTCCCCCTGCACCTACTCCCCTCCCTGCTGACCCCTCCTCTGATGACCGTGAGGCTTTCTCTACTGCTGCGCTGGCCTGTGCGGTCTGGGACTCACGCGATGCAGTAGCTCAGGTTGCTATTAGTCACGCCCTCCCTGTGTCTGAGCGCTCGCGTTTTGCTACTGTTGAAACGGCCAAAGCTTATTTAGACGCCGTTATTGCTCGCTATTCCACCCCTGCCTCCGCTTCTGCTGGCCGCTTGCTCTTTCCGATGCTGTTCCCAGACCTGGCTGCCTTCCCTACTGTCGCAGACTTTTGCCACTCATTTGCGTGCCCTAGAGACTCGCTATCGCACTGCCAGCACTGCTGCCCAGCTCACTGCGCTCCCCCCTCCTTTCTGCATGACGCTCTATTTTATCGCTATGCGCCTGCCAGACCGCCTCGCTAGTGCTGCGACCACTTTCTTAGCCAGCACCCGGGTGACCTCACCCTGACCGCCTTTGTCGACACCCTCACTGAGATCGAGACTCGCCAGCGCACTATCGCTCAGTCGAGCGGTGCGCCGGCAGTCTCTATCTTTCACGGCTGTGCCCCATCCCAGTGCACGTTCACTGACGTTTCGGCTGCGGTCGCCACGGCGACCCCTCTTACCGAGACGGCTGCTGCTGTCCACCCGCAGCGCGAGCGCTGCCGCCAGGGAGGTAGGGGTGGTGACGCAGGTGGTAGTGGTCGTGGTGGTGGTGACGGTAGTCCGCCTGAGGGGACTACCACCGGTGGGCAGGAGCAGCAGCCCAGCAGCAGCAGGACCAGCCCCAGCCGCAGCCGCCGTCCCAGCAGCACCCGCCGCAGCCGTGGGCTCGTCTCCCGCCTGGTTGGCCCGGCACCTCCGGAGGCGGTGGCCGTGGTGGCGGCCCGCGCAGCTTGGCGTCTACCAGCGGCTCCAGTGCTGTGACCTGCCAGTACCAGCTTCAGACCGGGCCTCTCCGCGGCACTCTGTGCCGCCGCCCGCACCCGACCGCCCGCTGTTTCCGCCGCCTCGACGATCTTTTTCGTCGTCGCTTTGGCCCGGCCCCGGACCTCCCTGACTGGCACAGCCTACTCCGCCAGGGCGTGCCGATCTTTGAGTTAGACATGGATCAGATAGGTGCTGCTTTGCATGCTTTGTATGCTGACGCTTCTAGTGTTGCTGGATCTTACTACCCTGTGTACTCTAGTTTAGGTGTTTCACCCTTGTGTAGCTTAGCTTCCCCTGCTGCGACAGGCGTAGGACTGCCTAGGTTGCCTAGTCTAGTCGCTGCACCGGCTCCGTCCCGGCCTCCGCCACTGCGTCGCTGTCCTTCACTCTCGACTCTGGTGCTTCTGCCTGCTTCTTCCGCGACCGTTCCACGCTCACGCCGCTTGCTGCACCTGCTGTTGTCTCTCTCGCTGACCCCTCTGCGGGTCCGGTCGTCGCGCGCAGTTCTACGTCCCTTCCTTGTCCGGCAGTTCCCTCGGGCTCCCTTACTGGCCTCCACGTTCCCTCGTTCTCCAGGAACCTGGTTGGTGTCGGCTGTCTCCAGGACCTCGGCGTCACCACCACGTTCCCCGGGCACGAGCGGTTCGCTGTCTGTTCTGAGGCTGTCTCAGGTTCCCCCCTTGCGACGTTCCCCCGGGACCCGGTGTCCGGTCTGTTTACCCTACACACCGCTTCCCCCCCGGTTGGTGCGTCCTCCCAGGTCGCTGCAGCTTGCTCGTGTCGGTCCCTCACTCACCCCTCCCTTCTCTGGCACCACCGCTTAGGTCACCCTGCTCTCCCGCGTCTGCGTCACATGTCCCAGCACGGTCTTGTCTTAGGTCTCCCCGCGTCGCTCCCTGCCTTCCTCCCTCGACTGCGCCACCGTGCACGCCTTGCGTCGAGGGTCGGCTCCGCCGTGCTCCTCACTCCTCCTCGCTGCGTCCTGCTACTGCCCCCCTTCAGACCCTGCACTTGGACGTTTGGGGCCCTGCCCCCGTCCCCGGACCGCGCGGTGAGCGCTACTTCCTTGTGCTCGTCGACGACTACACGCGCTACACCACGGTGTTTCCCCTGGAGCGGAAGGCCGACGTGCCCGACGTTCTTCTCCCGTGGGTTGTGGCTGCGCGTCTCCACCGCGGTCTCCCCGTGTTGTGTCTCCACTCCGACCGTGGCGGCGAGTTCGCCTCTGGTCGGCTTGGACAGTTCTGTCGTGCGGAGGGCATCACCCAGTCGTACACCTTGCCGGACTCGCCACAGCAGAATGGGGTTGCTGAGCGCCGCATCGGCTTGGTCATGGAGGTCGCCCGTACCTCCATGATCCATGCCGATGCCCCCCATTTTCTGTGGCCGTTCGCTGTTCGCTACGCGGCTCACCAGCTTAACCTGTGGCCACGCTCCCAGCGCCGCAGGTTTCGCCGACCCTCCTTTGGACCGGGTCCCCCGGTGACGCGTCTGCGTTCCACGTCTGGGGCTGCCTTGCTCACGTTCGTGCCTCTGGCACGGACAAGCTCACTGCCCGCACTGTCCCCTGTGTCTTCCTCGGTTTCCCCCTGGACTCGTCTGACTGGCTTTTCTACCACCCGCCGTCTCACCGCTTCCTCCACTCTCGTGACGTCACCTTTGACGAGTCCGTCTCCTTCTACCGCCGCTTCCCTCACCGAGGTCTCCCAGTTGCCCCCCCCTTTTCCTTGCTCCCTCTCCCCCGGTAGCCCCTGCCCCTCTCCCGCCTCGTCCTGCCCCGTCTGGTGTCTCCCACGTCACTCCCCTCCCGTCGGTTGTCCCCGTTGAGGAGTCTGCTGACTCTGGTGGTACCCCCGGTCCGTCCTTGCCGCGTCCCCCTTCCCCGGTGCCTCCGCCCCCACTGTCGCAGTCGCCGACCCCGCTGCCGCCGCCGTCGCCGTCGCCGCCGCAGCCGTCGCCGCTGTCGTCGCCGCCGCCGCCGCTGTCGCTGTCGCAGCCGTCGCCGCTGTCGCCGCCGCCGCAGCCGTTGCCGCCACTGCCGCCGCTGCTCTCGGCCCCTGGGGGTGCTGGTGTGGAGGAGGGTGTTCGTCCTGCGGCTTCTGGGGGTGCCGCTGGTGTTGGAGGGGGTTCTCGCTCTGGGGGTGTTGGTTCTGGGGGTGCTGCTGTTGAGTGTTCTGCCGACGGTCGTTCTGCCTCTGCTGGTCCGAGAGTTCCGGCCCAGCCGTCGTCGCCGCCGCAGCAGCCGTCGCCGCCGGTTTCCGCTCTCCGCCTGCTCGGCCTTCCCTCCCCGGACCGCGCGCCGGTGTCTCCCCCACCGCCTCCTGACCTTCCTGTCTACGGTCCTGTGTTCCCGCCGCCAGACTCGTCTCCGGCCCGTCTTCCTCCTCGTTCCCCTCCTGTGTCTCCTCCGCTGTCCCCTGACCCTACCCCTCCGTCTCACGTTTGGGCTCGCCGTCCCTCCCGTGCTCGTCCCGTCTCTCCTGTCCTGCCCACCCACCCTATGTTGCTCCGTTCCCACTCGTCTCGTCCTCCCCTCCTCCCGTCCCCTCCTCCCTCGTCCCTTGCTGTTGCACCTCCTCCGTTCTCTGACTACCTCCGTTCTGCTCGTCCCCTT